GATACATATTATTAATGCACTAGCTAGACCAAGCAAGCATTTCCCTTAATTGTTCCGATCCTTAATACATCATAACAGAATGCTATGTTTTTATTGTTATCGCTTTGAGGATTTTCTTGACATTCTTGAATTTCTTGAATTTTAGCTTAATAAAGGGATTACAGGGTCATACAAAGGGAATTTTTAGTGGAATGGCCATTTTTTTTTCCTTTTTACGACTCTGTAATCCCTTTTATCAGAGTGGAATGGAGCTGAGTATTTACTGGCCGGATGCCCTTCCTGAAGCCTAAGCCAAGATCACAGCAGATATTTTTCTCATTGCATCCTGACAGAGAAACATCTGTTGCTGCCTAAGATTGAACGCTCAACCTTCCAAGTGGGAAATATCGCCCGAAATTGGGGAGCTGGGGGAGCCGACGGGACTGGCGCCTAGATTGGTGCGGGTTGGGCAGGCACTTGTGGACAGAGTATGCAGACTCTGATTTTATATTGGATACTATTTGGAACCCTGAGACTCTAATCCACTGCGCTGCTCAGGGAGGTGGCCATATAAATTGATTGAATATATTTTCCAAAATAATATCCAATGAACCAGCCTCAAGCCCATTTCTAGACTGCCCACAATCCCTCTCCGGACCCCACTTTCATCAAATTATATTCAAGAATCTTCCAGATAAATGAAAGGAAAACAAAATGGTAAAAATCCTTGGGATAATTATATTTCTGGCAAACAATAGGAAACATTAACAAACTGCCCCTATGTATCACCTACAATTGCCACCTCAATTAAACATGTTGAGAGAGGATGGGAAATGGGATTTCTTCTAAAATACAGCCAGTTTGTTTTCTTTTAATGCATTTGCACCGACCTCTGTTGTGGATTTTTAACAGCTGACCCCCAACCCTATTAGGATGTTCAACATTAAAGGTGAACAACCTGGGCAGAAAGTGGTTTCAATCCTGCAGCTTCTGAGATAGAGATTTTAAAAAAGCAAGTTGACTTGAAAGAAAATCTAAACGCAGGGCCTTGGGAAACAGATTGCTATTGGCAGCGAGAAGAAGGAAAGAAGGCATCAAATCACAGCAAGGCGGATGGCCAATCCCAAAGCAACGGGAGAGGGAGAGAGAGAGAGAGAAGGGCGACTGAGGGACCGGGATGGAGAAGGCTGTGTAATGTTGGCTAGAGGGAAGACCATATAGGAGTACAAAGGCTGTGGGAAAACAAGAAGCATGGAAGCCTTTCCACACATTTATTAATGAACAGAAAGGAAATGGAGCAGGGAAGAAAAGGAGAAGACTAGGATCAAGATCTACGCCTCTTGTCAGAGGCCCCGAGAAACTGACTGATTGATATCCTTCAATATCTCACCTGCCAATTGCCCTCATGTTTCTAAGCCAGTATGGNGTAGGGGTCTAAGGAGGTAGAGAGGCGACTGGCCATGGCTGTGGCTTGCGAGTACTGGGCGTACTGGGAATACTGGGCCATGGTGTGCTCCGCATAAGTGTCGTATGCAGAGGCCCCATAGGCCGCAGCATTTCTCGCGCGATATCGTTTATAGTAATCCACCATTCCATAAGGGTCATCGTAATACATGGACTCCCCGTAGCCTGTAGGGTACGGGGTGCGCACCATTCCGTATTGCTCGCTATAAGGTTCGGTCAACTCAGCCGCTTGCCCCGTGCGGTCTACCGGGCACTCTTTAGACCAGTGACCCTCCTTCCCACACCGGTAGCAGCCGCTCTTCTCTCCCATCCCGGGCGCGGTCCTGAGACGGCTGGTGGACAACTGCACGCGCATTCGTTTGCCTTGAAGAAACAGACGCAAGAAGGGCAGCTATAAAGATTTGTTAAAGACAATTCAAAGCAAAAGCACAGCAGCTCAGAATTATTTTTATATTATAAAAAATAAAAAGCTAACAAACCACAAAATCACCCACTGATGCCTCAGTGGGTCAAAGAGGGAAGCCAGCAGCTGTTCGAGGACCCAGTGCCTCTTCTGCTCCAGAGCGACCAGCGAATTACTCAGGAAATGGAAGCATTTCGGTAGCGAGAAACCGATTCTACTCTCTTTTAAGGTATGTTTCATTCGTCTCCACAATTTGATGCTGGCCATGGAGACCCGGAAATCTTTTGGCAGGCACGCAAAGCAGAGAAGTGAATTCAAATCAAAACCCGAGAATTTTGCGGAGAAAATTGTGAAATATGATTTACTTCCGAGACACCTATGGGGGTCATGCAACTGCCTTTGTTTTCTAGGAACTCCAAAATTCAGATTTGCTGAATTTGCAGATTTGCTGAATTTTAAAGGAATGGTTCTTATGCTTAAGCTAAACCATTTTGAGGTTTATTTCCCACTGACACAGCAGGATCTGTTCTTCCTTCTCCAGTTTGACTCTTCAGGAGGTATGGCTGTGCCCTGCCCTTACTGTTTGCAGGCTGATGTGGATCGGATTCAGACCGCTTTATTCTGTGGAACGGCCCTTAAGCACTTAATGCTCCTGAGGTAGGGAACTACAAACACCACACCAGTCCAGGTCCCTGCCAGTGGCCTGTGCTTTCTTCATCCATTCTTGAAATCAAGAGACCAAGGAAAGAGAGAAAAACCTAACACCACTCCTATCACTTTCTCCATCTATTTCAGACATCTAGACAATCAGACTCCATTCCGGATCATTAAAAGAATTCTTTTTAATGCCAATACTATTGTTTCACGGTTCTGAAATTCAACAAGAGCGCATACAGGTAATCCTCAATTTACGACCACAAATTGAGCCCAAAATTCCTGTTGCTAAGTGAGAAATTTATTGAGTTTTGCCCCATTTTACGACTTTCCTTGCCACGTTGGTTAAGGGAATCACTGCTGTTGTTAAATTAATTACACAGCTGCTAAGTGAATCTGGCTTCCCCTTTCACTTTCCTTGTCAGAAAGTCACGAAAGGCGATTGTGGGACCCCAAGAGACTGCAGAAATGGGGAGTCAGTTCCCAAGCATCTGAATTTGGATCTCATGACCAAGGGGATGCTGCAACCATCGTTTAAGGGTGAAAACCGGTCATCGATCGCATTTCAATAACTTTGAACAGTCACTAAACAAACTGTCCTATGTTGAGGACTATCTGTATTTGATACTGGTCTGAATCAAATCAGTGGGACTTCATAAAATGCGATTAGTAGAAAGATACATATTATTAATGCACTAGCTAGACCAAGCAAGCATTTCCCTTAATTGTTCCGATCCTTAATACATCATAACAGAATGCTATGTTTTTATTATCGCTTTGAGGATTTTTTTGACATGTCAATTTTAGCTCAATAAAGGGATTACAGGGTCATACAAAGGGAATTTTTTAGTGGAGTGGACTTTTCCCCCTCCTTTTTATGACTCTGTAATCCCGTTTATCAGAGTGGAATGGAGCCAAGCCTTTACTGTCCGGATGCCCTTCCTGACTCCTAAGATCACAGCAGATATTTTACTCTTTGCGTCCTGACAGAGAAACATCTGTTGCTGCCTAGGATTGAACTATCAACCTTTCTGAGTTGGAAGTGAGTGTCTTCACCTCTTGGCCATTGCGTCGCTCAGAGGGGTGGCCATATAAATTCATTGAATCAATTTTGCAAAATAATGCCCAACGAACAAGCCTCAAGCCCATTTCTAGACTGCCTCCAATCCTTCTCCTGACCACACTTTTATCAAACTATACTCAAGAATCTTCCAAGTACATGAACGGAAAACCAAAGGGTAAAAATCATATTTCAAAAAATAATCATATTTCTGCTAACCAGTAGGAAACATTAACAAACTTACCACTATGTGTCACCTACAATTTCCACCTCAATTAAACATATCAGAGAGGGATGGGATTTCTCCTAAAATACAGCCAAAGTGTGTTTTGTTTTAAGGCATTTGCACTGAACTTTGTTGTGGATTTCCAATACTGTGTTTTCCCCAAAATAGGACCCTGTATTATTTCTTTTTCGCCACCAAAAAAGGCACCAGGTTTTATTATCAGAGGTGGGTGGGGATGTTGCCAACTGACTCACCTTACTCATGTGCATCATCCCTGGCCTCTTTTTCGCTATCAGAGGCCTTCTGGGAACAAGAGCTGAGGTGTGCAATGCCTGGCTACAACTCTCTGAACGTAAGTAATAGGGCAGCTCTACCCCACCCTAGCTTAATTATTACATTTGTACCCTGGGGTGTGCGGGGTCTTAATTAGGGCTTATTTTGATGATAGGGCTTATATTGGGCACACGTGTAAATATCAAGCTAGGACTTACGTTCTGAGTAGGTTGGATTTTTCGGGGAAATACAGTTACTGACTCCAATCCTATTAGGGCCTTCAACTAGCGGTTAACAACCTGGGCAGAAAGTGGTTTCAATTCTGCAACTTCTCAGATAGAAATAAAAAAAGTTAACTTTGGCTTGGTGGGCGTGGCAGGGGAAGGATACTGCAAAATCCCCATTCCCACCCCACTCTGGGGTCAGCCAATGGTGGTATTTGCTGGTTCTCCGAACTACTTAAAATTTCCGCTACCAGTTCTCCAGAACCTGTCAGAACCTGCTGAATTTTACCCCTGTGCTATTGGCAGCGGGAAGAAGGAAAGGCGGCATCAAATCACAGCAAGGCGGATGGTCAATCCGAAAGCAACAGGGGAGAGAGAGAGAGAAGGGCGGCTGAGGGACCGGGATGGAGAAGGCTGTGTAATGTTGGCTAGAGGGAAGACCATATAGGAGTACAAAGGCTGTGGGAAAACAAGAAGCATGGAAGCCTTTCCACACATTTATTAATGAACAGACAGGAAATGGAGCA